AAGTTAACATTTGATGTTTTCCCTTTGGCAGGATGGGAGTCTTTGCTTTTATTTGTCAAGAATAGCATTTTAAATGGTAGCAAAGAGGTTGCTATTGCTGCAATAAATTGTTTACAGACACCTGTTCTTTCTCATTCTTCTAAGGTGATCATGTGAATGAGCTAGAATGCTTGTATATTTGTGAATTAGATTTTGTAATCACATCTTTTCTTTCCTAAGTTGGCTTTTATCTTTTTGAAAACTTATTTATACTAACTAAATGAATTACATAATTAGAAAATGAAGATTGCAATATTTCTGCACGTTTATGATAAAATCTATAATAGAATAATTTATTGGTGTCAATCAGGGGAACTTGCCGAGGCCTTACCTTGAATCAGTACTTGATGCTTACGAGGTGGTTCTCCAAACATCAACACACCTGAGTGACAATGCAGCTATCAAGGTGAAGCAGGAGATTTTACACAGTCTTGGTAATGCTTTAATTTAACATGACTGGTTTATTATTTGTTTCCTTGTATGTTAAAATGTATGTCCTTCCCATTTGTTTGGCTTGATATCTTCAATATCTAACATCTCCTTCGCTTGATCTATGACTTAGTCTAGCGGAAACAACCTATTTTGTATTTGCTACTTGTCCCTTCTGGTTAAGTGAACCATCTTCTGATGTGCATTTGTTTCAACCTGTTTGAACTTCTAACAGGGGAACTACATGTACAAGCGCAAAGGATGTTTGATGATCATTTGTATAAGCAGTTGCTTGCAATCATAGGTTCAGCTGTTAAACAAGCCATAATCATCAACGATAGTTCTGAAACTGAATTTGTAAGCCAAATTTCTACTTGTCCTTCTTAACTTACTCTTTTTTTCCCCCAATGTCTTTAGCTGTTTATTTGTAGTCACTGCTGCTCTTTCATAATGCATTATCTTTTGAAGAGAACAGGGAAGTGTAACTTAACACACTAGAAAGAAACATATAATTAAAATGGAAAGTTAGCAAAATTATTCCCTCTTTGTTCGTCATCAATCGTTATACCTGAACCATACCCCTGAAATGTGTACGAGAGTCCTCTCTAATGTAGCCATTGCTGTGCTTATGAAGACTGGATACTCTTTTGTAGCTATCAAGAAAGTGTACAGCAGAAATTATTGTTAATAGCAATAGTAACAGGGAACAGATGGCCTACACTTTCATTTATGTTTATATATCACTTCATGTTTAATAGAATCTCTTACTTTTCTTTAGGGACATGTTCCACTTGTGTTACGCACTGTGCTGGAGATCCTTCCAATGTTACGCCCAACAGAGCACATTTCTTCTGTGTGGCTTAATCTTATTAGGGATTTTTTGCAATATCTGCCAAGATTGTGTTCTGCTGTACAAAATGAGGAAGATGACGCAGAGGAAGCCAGCACTAGTGACCAAGTTCCAGGTATAAAATTGGCTTGTTTTCCCCATACTTTTGAATGTCAACTGTAACTAAAGAAAAATAAAATTTATTCCTGCAGATGATCACTTGAGGATAAAACATGAAACACCTAATGGGACTGATTCTATATCTTCAAACAGAGTAGAAGGTTCTCCGAGTTCTGGATTAAAGACATCTGTAACAGCAGGCATCCCTAATTATATGTTTGCGGAAAAGCTTGTTCCCTTGCTGGTAGATCTTTTTCTACAGGCCCCAGCAGTTGAAAAGTATATCTTGTATCCTGAATTTATTCAAAGTCTTGGGAGGTACTGATGGCTCTTTGGTCTAGTGCTAATTTTGTTCTACTGCAACTACACTTTTCTAGAAAAAGGTCATTATGATCAGAAATTGATAATTAACTGAATACTGGTGTATAAGAGCTTATAACATGAAACTTGGTAGAAGGCACAAAGTGGGGAAAATAGTAATTATAATCTTCCTGCACTTACAGTTGTGAGGGACTGTTAAATATTCTAATTGTTCCTGAAGATGAAAGGTTTCTCTGGATTATGATACCTGGGTGACTAATAGATTAATCAAGAGGGAATTTTGAGAATATGTCTACTACTTAGTGACTTTCATACCCGAGCTCAGTTTAAAATAAAAAGTACTTGAATCTTCAATGAATGCTTGGAATTTCAGTCAACTCAACTCTATCGGCCTTCTTGTTATATCTGTATTTGTCAATCTTATTTATTTTTGGATTAAAACTCTTTTTTCTTTTTATTGAGAAGGATTAATCTCTTTTTAACTAGAAAATAACAGCATCAGGCTTTTGTCTTAGGTGTATGACGACAAGAAGAGACAATCCAGATGGTGCTATTTGGAGATTAGCCGTTGAAGGCTTCAATCGCATTCTAGTTGATGATGCCAGAAACTCGGCTATAAATGCCGGACTAGATTCAGGTGCTAGTAAGCCTGCAAGAACACGTATATGGAAGGAAGTTGCCGATGTTTATGAAGTATTCCTTGTGGGTTATTGCGGGCGAGCTCTTCCCTCTGATTCTTTCTCAACTGTGGATGTAAAAACTGATGAGTCCCTTGAGATGACCGTCTTAGACATTCTTGGTGACAAAATTCTGAAGTCACCAATCGACGCACCTTTTGATGTAATTTTCTCACCAACCATAAAACGGATAGTAGATTGTAATATTAGTAGTAGTGGCGGTAGCCATGGTAGTGGTGATGCTTGAATGAGGCGGTAGTTACAGGGTTGGGATGATGGAGTTAACATCTTTTGCATATCTTAGTGTTGAATTATGTGTGGTGGAAATTACAGTAATAGCCTGATATGAGAAGAGCCCTGTGGAAGGTTCCTTTATGCCTTGTCCTATTTTGTGACCTCTTGTTCATTGGGTTATTTAGGCCATATATGTGTTGCAGGGGTTCAAGTTTTGAGCTTGTATGTCTTCTAGCCTTGGTTTTGATGTTTCTTAATCATGATGTAAACATTGCAAATCACCTGAGTGGGATCATTTAGGGTCACCACTAACCTGGGTGATGTGTGGAATAGAGATACCTTAGGAGCATTTTTGTTCAACTACTATTTTATTATTTTTCTAATGGAAAATCTTTGATTTTAACAGATTTTGCAGCGGCTGGTTTCCACCTTGGACCGTTGTGCTTCACGTACTTGTTCTTTACCTGTCGATTTTGTGGAACTTATGCCTTCCCACTGCAGCAGGTTTTCCTTGACTTGTTTACAGAAGCTATTTTCCTTGAGCAGGTAATGTATTAAATAGGGTTGTCTTCTACTTATATTTCACCTTCTGATGTATGGGAGTATTGATTTACACTGTCCATTTAAGTATTTTACCAGGTTGACCATTTTAGGTCCTGGACAAACTCCTCTCGATAAGATGGTTCCAGTTATATTTGTGCATTCCCTTGTAACATTTTAGTAAAACAATGAATTACCCCTTCAACCTACAAAAGAAAAAAATAAAAGTCAGGATACAATAGTAATACCATCATAGGAGTCTTATACAATACTAAAACCATCATAGGAGTCTTTCTTTCATTTTCTTTCTATTTAAAACATCCAAACAAAGGAAAGTAACAATGTAATATTTATTTACCGTTCTATGCCCTCTTCGTTACTATTTTACTTTCTGCTCCATTTCTTCAAGTCTCCTAAGCATACTCTTAATAATGTCTAAACCTGTTCGCATCTATTTTCTTTAAAATAAAATATTTTCTCACAGTATTTTATGTACTCAGTTATGACAGCAAATCCAATGATTGGAATTCAGCGAGATATGAGGTGAGCAAAATTGCAATCATGGTACTCATAACCAGATGCGAATACATCTTGAGCAGATTTCTGATTGACGAGAATGACTTAGGTGCGTATGTTATGTTTAACGATATCTTCCTATTATCACTTGTTTAAAGAATAAACAAAAACAAAAAAACTCAGTATCTTGTATTATCATGTCTTTTTCTGCAGGTGGACGCCCATTGCCATCAGCAAGACTTGAAGAAATTATTTATGTTCTTGAAGAGTTGGCTCATCTGATAATTCATTCAGATACTGCATCGGTTCTTCCCTTGCCACCGCATTTGAAAAGTGCCCTAGAAAAGGAAAAGAATCATGACATGCGTCCACACCTTGTTGTTCTATTTCCCTCCTTATCCGAGCTTGTAGTATCAAGGTGAGAGTAATACTTCTTTTCTTTTTATGAAAATGATATGGGACATAGTTGAAATAATATTGAGACGGAGAGTGTAAAATGGGGGAATTACTGTCAATTGATTTCTTTAAACCTATATTTTCACTTACCAAATTACCAGTCATAAGCTTGTAGTCTAACTGTAAAGCTGACCACGGTATCATAATATTATCATGATTATGTGGTGGACTGGGTAGCAGATGACGATAAAGGGAGTTTTCCCAGTATGACAGAGCATATTAGTTAATCAGAGATTAACGGCAGTACTTAGAAGTGAAGTAGACTCAAAAGAACGTAACTGGAAATTTTTGAGAGAGCAGGCAATGTAACTGGAATCGTGGAGAACTTGAATCTGTTGTCTAGAGAGAAAAATGGCAAGATCCATTTAAAATATCTTAAATGTGGCTGGCATCAAATTAACTAACTAAAAAGATATGAGAACTATCGTGCACTTATCTTGAAACTGCCAGTGCTCCGACTCGGGTAATGAGACGTAACTTTATAATGCATGCATGTATACATTGAATTCTTTTTTCATATTTTATGCTACATTGTACCAAGTGTGCTCATCGCATGTTGTTTCTTTATCCTTTTGTTGAACAGAGAAGCAAGAATAAGAGGGTCCGTGCAAGTCTTATTTAGGCTCATCGCCAAAGAATTGGGTCTAAATAGAGTTTCTATAAGCAGTGAAAATGCCGAAGAATTCATACCAAGTACACGGCAACCCTAAGTTAGTTTCATGACCTAAGGTTCTTATTTATCTTTTTCATTTTTTGTCTTTACCGGTGGTGGTTTGACGACGAATTTTCCATTAGCGAGGGTCATATAGTTTGTACATTGTATCGATTTTGTTGTATTCAAAACAGCTACCTCAGGGGTAGTAAGTTCTAAGGAATCAAATTTCCGATTCTTTTGAAACCGAAAAAGGTTATCCGATTCTTTGGTTTGGTGCAAATATGCTTTCGAAGGCTTTGCGTCTAGTTTCCAAGGCTTTGGATTGCGGTTCCAACTTAAATATGGCAACTTGCCGATATACTGTAATTTGGCTTCACCAATTTTTTGTTTTGTGCATACTATAATTGTTTCGAAGGCTTGTCCTAGTAAAATGCTTGAATCACATGTGATTCTAAAGCATCTCTATTTTCAGTTCTCATTGTAAATGCTTGAATTGCTCATAATCATTGGGTTTGTGCGAAAAGTGTGTTAGCATTTTGCTCAACCAGGTATTGCTCTAGATAATAGTCGAGTTGATTTGTTTTATTTTCTTTGCCAAACATATTGCCCTCCCTTTATATTCCATAATACAGAACAAATATCTTGTCTTTCTATTCATCTTTCCTTTTTTGAGTCGATTTAAAAATTCGTACGAACACTAGGTCACTTATTCATCAATGGCCCCAAACGAAACACTAGGTCACTTGTGTTTGAGAAGAAAGCACAAGCCCTCTCACCCCCTAGATTGAAAAACAACGCATGTCTAGTAAAAGTGACAACCCAACCCCTCCTTTATGTACGCTTATATTGCTAGTTCTAAGACCAAACCCAAATACAAACGCTCAGACAAAGCAGTGACTTCTCATGCAAACTATTTTGGCATTTCGTTACTATTGATCTGGTTGAGCCTAGCTGCTGCTGCCACCGAAGCTGCCACGCCCGTTGGGTGTGTAGTCAGAAACGGATCATTTCTCATCTCTGCACCCGTCACCCCCTCGGCATCTCGACGTGTCGCCGGTTTGTCTGCTGGCAATTTTGAAGTAGCATCCTGCAATTTAAACACAACACCGCCAAACGTCGCATACATCAACATGGACATCCACCACAAAAAGTTTTAACAAATTTTCTTGGCTATCTATATATATACCGCTAGAATGTCGGCGAGTTTCGTCTTCTCCTCATCCTTCGTAGTCCGAGCGTTGAGGGTTGCGGCCGACTGAGCTGCGGCCGCCACACCACCGGGTACAATGTTGGTTCGGCCAGTGGCTCTGACTTCGGCTGCTTGAATTGCAGCCGCATCACTCCACTCCACCGGTTTCTGTCCAGCTGTCATAGCAGTGGCCTCCAGGGCTTCACCAATGGTGATTTGACCACAAGTCCCACCAGCTTGAATGGTGTTTGGCGCTGCCAAAGGAGCTCTCTGGCTGTATTGCCCCACAGCCTACCCTTCACAAACAACAAACATAAACGTATATACATGTATTATATATTTATGTTTCCATGTGCAAGTTGCAACCAATGAAAAAACCAAAACATTCACCCCAACCAATTAATCAATGAAAGAAAAAAATAATAATAAAAGCAAGGAGTTACCAAATACTTTCTTTATAATTTTATTATTTTGAGTTCAATATTCAAAGAAAATGATGCTTCCCGGTGTTATGTTTAGTAGGTGCTTGCTTTCAATTTGTATAGATTAATAAAATTACGCAGTAGTGGTTAATTGGTTTTGAGCTCAAACTTTATACCTCAACCAATTCATAGATTTTCCTTTGCTTTTCATGATCTACATTCCTTGTATTTGAATGCGAACCCTAAACCAATCAACAAGGAACCGAATAAAAGAAGAAACACTTGAAAACAAAAGACAAGTATTGTTAAAATTATGTGAATATATATACACAAAGGAAAGGGATATATGGGACCTGTCCAGCGATTGATTCTGTTGTTATACGGCGTCCCGGGAGATCAGCCTCCTTAACGCTAACGCCCTCGTCTCCTGTAACAATATTGGCATTCGTGTCGTCGGGACCCACCACCCCAGCCTTCTCGTTCTGCTTGGCGGCGGCCTGCAAGGTTGCGGCTGCACCGCCCTTGATGGTCTTCCCAAGCATCGCATTCTCCGCGGCCTGCATGATGGCGGTGTCCTTGGGCGCCACCACCTTGTCCGCCAGCTCACCGCCCTGGACACCAGGAAACACGTCCCCATATGTCACGGCTTCCGTCTGATCCTCGGGCTTCCGCGGCTGTTCTTGGCTCATTTTGTAATTTGATCCAAATTCCTGGATTCTTATTAGGAACAGCTTTGAGCGAAATTTGTCAAATCTTTGTAAAGAAAATCAAACGGGGATTGGGGAAGAGGGGGCTTTTAATGTACGGTACGTGCATGGTGGCATGGGGCGTTCATCCTTTGGACACGTGGGTGCTCTGAAGGTGACACGTGGAGAGTACTTGGCGAATTTTCAGCTGAACTGTTGGTTTAAAAAAAAAAATCTTGACGTACATGGTCAAGGGCACCACACGTGGCGTAGACACAAAAGATAATGACTGGGTCCAAGTCGTAATAACTGCGCCGAGCTAGGGGCTAATTCGGTATTATACTCTGGAAATAACCCAGTAGGAGTAGCCCAATAATCCACACCCCAAAGTCCTATACTTCCAGGCCCAGACTTATCAGCCCACCCAAAGCGGGCCCGCTAAAGTTTTCTTTCGTCTCTCTCCTACTTTTTTTCTCAATCTCTCTTCTTCCTGCTTCAGCCAAGCCAAGCAGCCAAGCCTCCCATCTCCTGTTTTCTGTGTGAAGTTAACTGAGGACGTGAGCTGCTAATTCTTCTTTAGGTAATGTTTCTCTTTACAATCTCTGTGTGTTGAAGTTAGGGTTGGTTGAATTATTGAACTGTGTATTTAATTGAATTAGTTTTTTTGTTTTTAGAATCTCCGAGAGAGACAGAGAGAGGAGACAGAGAGAGGGTCTGAAATGGAAGCTGAGAGACAGCTGTCGGTGGAGGCAGAGGCGATATTCAGAGAAGGCGTAGCATTGGTTCTGTCTCGGTGGTCGGCGCTCCAGTTGGCCGTCGACAACGAGTGGGGCGGCCGTGACTCGCGCCGCAAATCGGAGCAACTTGCCGCCGACGTCTTCTCCTGGTTCACTCAGTCTAAAGGTACTTTTCTAAACTCGCTTACCTCAAATCTCGCGTTCTTTCTGATTGCTGTGAAGAAAAATAATGGGTTTTCTGATATAGCTAACCTATGTGTGTTAATTTTGCTCAGAGGTTCTTTACATAGATGACTTAGAAGATATTCTGAATGAAGCTATGCTTTCTCTTAATACCGTGACAGAGGATGGCAGCATTGAGGAGGTATGCTTGCTTTCCCTACTCTGCTACCCTTCTTTGTATCATCAGAGAAACACCTTATATTGTATCTTGTATGGATGGTTTTGTTATATTGGAGAAGATTTTATATGTTATGCTTCTGCTTATATATTTCCTTGGATAGATAATTTATGAGGAGGATCAATTTCATGTGAACTTCTTTACCATCTTTTGTTATTGGTTTTCTATCTTGATGGTGTTTATGATCTCTCTATCTGGATTTTCATAGGTAGCTGAAAAGTTAATGTTTATGAATGAAGAATGTTTGAATGGTGATTTCCAGTCTGTTGAAAGCCTAAGAGAAGCCAATCATCGAAGAGTTGCTCTTCCTCATGTTAAACAGGTGAGTTATATTCAACAACCTCAGCCTGAAAAGTTTTACTTCAATAAGACATATCTTTTTTTGGTGGTTTTTTACTATTAATCTTATGACAAAATGTGAGTAGACATAGGAAAAGGGACTGCGTCATTTGATAACATAATGCATATATTATTACCAGTAATGTGCGTTAAGTAGTCACTTGTTCATGGCTCTATTTGAAGAAAATCTCAATTGTTGATAGATATGAATTGGTACACCACATAACTATTAACTATTGAGGATGATGGTGATGGTGGAGATTGTGCTTGTAAATTGACAATCCTGGCAAGATATGAGAGGCTGGTGCTTTGTTTAGGTCTAGAGTTTGATTCTAGTCAGGGGGGTATCAGCATATAGGAAAGACAACAGCTACCTTACTGCCTACTAATGTCATGTTATATAGGTCTGCGTTGGTATTTATTGTTATGTTGCAATTTATGCGATGAAGGTGGCATGCTCTTATGAAATGTCATCCCATATTAAACATACTTTGATGAATTGTTAAGTTGTCGACTGTACCTATAAAGAAACCATCGATCTTACGACTGCTGATGTGGTAATTGTTTTGTGAATGCATTTTCCTTGGATCTTAAATTTGTATCACTCTTTTCCATGCTGTTGCCAACTTTTAGTCTAGTTAAGAGAACACCTTTTGGACACTGGGTTCATGGGAGGTCTTTGGACTGCAACCATTCTTGCTGGATAACCTTGCTTGTTCATATGAGTTATGTTCTTTTGCTTTTGCTTCCTTACTCATTTAGGTGAATGATGATGACGATGACGATGACGACAATGAAAGAGATGATACCCTTGAGAATGATGGTCCGTCAAACATGATGGTGGACACACCAGAGTCCCAGTCAAATTCAAATCCAGTAGACATGACAGACAATAAACCAACTCCCAAGCCGGTGGCTAAAACAGAAGATGGATGGGAAGTAGTTGGACCAAGGCGTAGTAAGGGTAAAAGGAATTAGGTTGAACTCCTAATTATACTTCCCTAAAAAATTTTGCCATTTCTATCTCTCTGTCAAGTAGAGTTTCTGTAATAGTATATTGTTTGATCATGCCTATTTGCCTTGGACCATAATGACAGAATTATATTTGAATCTCTTTGACAATGTTCATTAACATACAAGACAATTGAATTTGGGAGTTCTAGTGGCCTAACCAATTGGGCAATAATTGAAGTCAAACAAACAGAGACTGAGATCCAGGCTACTTCTATTGCATCAGCTTCATACTTAGTCCAAAAAAAAAACCCAAGTTAGCAAGGTAACTTTCCAATGACATCATTTATTCCGAAATTAGCCACCCAAAAACAGATGTAAGGTCTCATCAACCACCAAACTATTTAGAAATGAAATGCCCAACGACAAATCATTTAGAAATTAGTTAGTCTTCGTAATTACCAGATAATTAAATGCTTGATAAACTCATCATAAGCTCATATTATAATGTATGCGACAGATAATCAAATAGAAATAGTAGTCGAATACTTCTCTATTCAAGTGAAACAAAAGAATGAGCTTGAAAATTGGATGCCAAGTAAAATCATACTTCTTGAGCTTCACTGCAACTCTTCGAATGAACCCTTTTTAGCTGCAAACTTCACCGGCCCTTTCAAAGATAACGATAACCCTCCGATTTCCTCTCTCAGATTACCCAAAATATTTTACAATATAAAAATAATCACCACATTTGCTTTTTTTCCATCAACCTCATCACCATACCAACTCTACTTTCTCAAACCAGCGCCCCTCCAACTCCAACTCTTCCTATTTCTCCTACTACAATGAACATTGTCGTTTCCTTCCTAATTTTTACCTCACACGTCATCTACATCCTTCCATTTATTTCATCTCAAGTAACACACCTGACCTACTCCGGCAACCAAGGCCAATGGCACCTCCTACATTCATCCATAGGCATCTCCGCCATGCACATGCAACTCTTACGTACAAACAAGGTCATCATGTTCGACCGGACCGACTACGGACCCTCCAACATCTCCCTCCCCGGCCGCCAATGCCGGCTTGACCCCAACGACACCGTGCTCAAAGTAGACTGCACGGCTCACTCCATCCTCTACGACATCGGCACCAACACACTCCGGCCCCTAACCGTACAAACCGACACATCGGCACCAACACACTCCGGCCCCTAACCGTACAAACCGACACGTGGTGTTCCTCCGGCGCCGTCTTCCCCGACGGAACCCTAGTCCAGACGGGTGGCTACAACGACGGCGACCATGTGGTCCGCACGTTCACTCCATGCACGGGCGACAATTGTGACTGGCTCGAATTCCCAAATTACTTGGTACAACGTAGATGGTACGCCAGCAACCAAATATTACCTGACGGTCGTATAATCATTGTCGGAGGCAGACGACAATTCAACTACGAATTCTACCCGCGCAATTTCCAAGACCCTCCTCGCACTTTCTGGCTCGATATTTTGAGACAAACTAAGGACCAAGACGAGAACAACTTGTACCCATTTCTCCACCTCTTACCAGATGGGAACTTGTTCATTTTCGCAAACACCAAATCAATACTCTTCAACTACAACCAAAACGTCGTCGTTAGAGAGTTCCCCGAAATACCCGGTGGCGAGCCTCGTAATTATCCAAGCACCGGCTCCTCGGTGCTGCTCCCGTTGGACGAAAACAAACCCGCCAATGTAAACATTGAAGCCGAGATAATGGTCTGCGGCGGCGCGCCGCGCAACTCGTTCGTGCTCGCTTCCCGTGGAGAGTTTATCGATGCGCTCGGCACGTGCGGGCGGCTCAAGGTGAGTGACCAAAACCCCTACTGGGTAATGGAGGAAATGCCGGTTCCCCGAGTCATGGCCGATATGATTCTTTTACCAACCGGAGACGTCGTTATCATAAACGGCGCCGCACTAGGCACGGCCGGATGGGAATACGGGCGTGACCCGGTAACCAAACCGGTCATATACCGGCCGTCGGAGAATCCGAACAGGCGTTTTTCCGTCATGGCCGGTTCGCAGAGACCGAGACTTTACCATTCCGCTGCTGTTTTGGTACCGGATGGCCGGGTCTTAGTCGGCGGAAGTAACCCGCATGTTTACTATAACTTTACCGACGTCGAGTACCCGACGGATCTTAGTCTGGAGGCCTTTTCGCCGCCGTATATGTCGGTGGAATATGAACCGGTTCGGCCGAGAATCGTTTCGGTGAAAGAAGTTTTCGGATACCGGCAGTTCTTTTCGGTTGCATTCGCCGTGCCCGAGTTCTTGTCTGTGAGTGTATTGTCGGTGAGGCTGGTTGCGCCGTCGTTTACGACGCACTCGTTCGCCATGAATCAGAGAATGATTGTGATGAAGCTGATCGGAGTGACGCGCGTGGCGCCGGAGACGTATGAGATTAGCTTGGTGGGGCCTTCGACGGGGGAGATTGCGCCGCCGGGTTATTATTTGCTGTTTGTGGTGCACGCTGACATCCCGAGTTCTGCTGCGTGGGTGAAGTTGCAGTGAAAGAAATGCCGACCAACATCTGAGGGACGTGCATGATATACTTCAATTTTAACGGTCAATAAAAGTTGTGAATAAAATGTACATAAAAATAA